CTCAATCCTTGGAGATGGCTCGCTGTCACATCACTCCTTCCTGACCTGTCTGCTCCTACACTGCAGTGATGCTATGTCCTTCAACGTCCCCATGTCCTATACACTGTGTATAGAATGTGATGACTTGGGGACTTTAGATCGCTGCAGAGGAAGGGCAGTGATGATGTTAGGTTGAACCAGTCTAAGAGTATGCTGGTTCGGAGGATTGGGTTGGTATAACTTTATTTTTGGAACTAGACCAAAATAATCAGCATTGACAAGTTGTAGCATTATGACTGATAAATGTCCTGGCGGTCAGGTCATGTCTGCACATCTGTCTTCCTTTGTCTATGGTCAGTTATAGACATTACATCAAGGGGTAGACAAGCTCAGCACTCCAGCTATAGTAAAACTACAAATCCTGTCATGCCTCTGGGAGCCATGTCTGTGGCTGTCACAGTCCTGCTGGAGTGCTGAGGTTGCCTACCCCTGCATTAGACAACGTCCAGTACCAATGTGTGACGGGAACAGCAGGCTGACCCGAACCAAGGTGACCATAAGACCTTGTATAACTTTTATAGATATCCTTCCAGACAAAACTATGTGACAGCACAAGGCTTTGTACATTGCTCATATACTGCAGGTGCCATTATCCTACGTGTGCTACTCATCTCACTGTGTACAGCCAAATATGTGTCAGATTTGGGTCAGGGAGAAGAATCTGCTTGTATATGGCTGGCATCAATCTGTCCTCCCACTCATCAGCTCCCCTTTCTTTTATAGAAGTCTGTACTTTTCATGGGACTGCACACAGGGAGACACGGCACGGAGTAAAATACTTTCAGTATTCTTCCTTCAGTAACAGAATGTTCTTCACCAGGACAATGTTCTCTTTATGGCTTCCTCAGGACAAAAATGATGGAACACATTTAATTAGGTTGTGTTGTCACCCAGCCAGAGCCCAAGGATGTCCCTGTGTGGATCTCACCACTACAACAAGTAATAAGCAGATGTCAGTGTGACCGGCCACACGGACTGTCACCATCCATCCTGTAATACTGCAATGTATCTACAGGAGTCGGAGGACCTTCCATGCCGGGGGGTCAGGCTGACCATTATGTGCCATGGGAAGGAAAGGAGGATTCTTAGTGACACACAAACACTATCACTCACTCAGTGGGGACATAATGTGTGTGCAACTGCAAATCAATACATGAAGATACAAATGAGACACAAACTATACACAGAGTGGGCCAAAGGTAACGGATAAATAACAAAGTCAGTGAGGGCCGGTGCACACCCCACCTCGCGGCAATCCTGCACCATTCCGCGCGGATTGCCACGCGGTCAGGAGTCGCCCGGTTGCACCGATCGCGCTGTAGGTGCCCTTATTTTCTAATGGCACCCCAGGCGTGCATTGTGTATCACAGAAAGCACGGGCGGAATCACGGCGGGAAACCGCGCAATCCACCTGGCGCAACTGTGGTGCCATTAGAAAATAGTGGCACCTACAGTGCGATAAGTGCACACCTGGGTGACTCCTGACCGCGCGGCAATCTGCGTGGAATCATGCACGATTGCTGCGCGGTGGGGTGTCGCCTAGGTGTGCACTCAGCCTAAAGGATCTGATGGTGCTAGTCCGGAGGAACCAGAGCAGGAGCGCCAGCAGTCAGCACTGGAAGCAAAAAAAAAACAAGGGAACACAATGCAAACAGACCCAATCTGGGGTAGGAAGTACATTCCAAAACGTTTATTACATAAAAGAAGCAATGTGCACTCACATGTGACCGCGGCAAATAGTCCTTGAAAGGGGAGGACGGGTCTGAATGAGCCCCAGGACTTCCAACACCCTATGTATTGATACACCTGAAACCTTTTTAGCTGATTTCAACTGGGAGTTCAATTGTCTTGTTCACACCATGTCCATGACCAGATCTAGATGCATTTCTGCATATGCAGTGCGTTTTGACGCGTTTTTGATGCGTACTAGTGATTTTTTTAAAAGCTGAAAATGGGCTTGAGGTGCGGTCCAGTGCATTTACATGCATTTTTATGCATGCATTTTTATGCATGCAGCATCCCCCCCTCCCTGCAGCGGAACTGACTGCACTGGTCTGAACAGAGCCCAGAAATACCATAGGAATACATTGGGATGCATTTCAGGTGCAGATAAAAAAAAAAGCTCTGGATCTGGTCTGAACAAGCCCTAAGGGCCCATTCACACCAAAATCGGAAGGACAATGCATGTCTAAGGAGGGTCCATTGAATTGCAATTTTACCTTCCAATTTCCTTCTGATCTGTTGCATTGGGAAACGTTTTTCAACGGATGCTTACGGATGGGAACTATAAAATGAATGGGTGTGAATGGGGCTAGATCCCTCTGGACACACTGCACTGAATAAAAGTAGTGCAGGTTCTACTTTTTTTTCCAGTGCAACATAATTTGACGCAACAGAACGGAGTGAACTGGCCCCATTCATTTTTTGGTGCCCTTCTTTTAGCATCCGATGAAAAACGTATCACAATGCAACGAAACCAGTGTGAATGGGTCCTAACTGAAATAACAAAATCCAGGCTGACACATCCAAGATTTAGGGCTGGTTCAGATGACAAACACCGTGTTCCGGTGCGTTTGGTCTCTGGAACGCACTGCAACACAAGCTGGCCACCTCCCTGCGTTCAGGGGCGAGGTGGAGGTGGTGCATTGAAGTCAATGGCACCGCAGCCACGCCTTCGCCAGCAGTGCGATCGCCTGCACCCGGAACGCTGGCACACTAGTGCCAGCTTTCCGGCCCAGTGCGATCTGCAGAAATGCTGCAAGCACTATTTTTGCAGACCTGTATTCCGGGTGTGGGCAATCACACTGCTGGTGGGGGGGGGCGTGGCTGCGGTGCCATTGACTTCAATGCATCATGTGCAGGCTCTTCCAGTGATGACCTTCTAGTCATCATGTACAGGCTCTTCTAGTAATCATCTCTTGTCATCATGTGCAGACTCTTCCAGTGATCATCTCTTGTGTTCATGTGCAGGCTCCTTTAGTGATCATCTTTTGTCATTATGTGCAGACTCTTCCAGTGATCATCTCTTGCCATCATGTGCAGGCTCCTTTAGTGATCATCTCTTGCCATCATGTGCAGGCTCCTTTAGTGATCATCTCTTGTCATCATGTGCAGGGTCTTCCAGTGATCATCTCTTATCATGTGCAGGCTCACCCAGTGATCAGATGTGCCCATCAGAAACTGGCTTCTTTAGTGACCATCTCTTGTTATCATGTGCAGGCTCTTGCAGTGGTCATCAGACACTGGCTCTTGTAGTGACCAGCTCAGTGACTGGCGGATACAGGATGACCCCAGCTTCATCCTCACCCCGGAGATCATCTCTTGCCATCATGTGCAGGCTCCTTTAGTGATCATCTCTTGTCATCATGTGCAGGGTCTTCCAGTGATCATCTCTTATCATGTGCAGGCTCACCCAGTGATCAGATGTGCCCATCAGAAACTGGCTTCTTTAGTGACCATCTCTTGTTATCATGTGCAGGCTCTTGCAGTGGTCATCAGACACTGGCTCTTGTAGTGACCAGCTCAGTGACTGGCGGATACAGGATGACCCCAGCTTCATCCTCACCCCGGAGATCGCATACTCTCTGCACGTGTTTAGCGCAGCGCGGCTTGTCCGTCCTGGCTGTAGGAGGCGTGACGTCACTGGACCCGCCCATCCTGTAGTGAAGACCGGTGAGCGCTCCGCCCCCAGACTCAGTCCGACTCCGCGATCCCGGGGAGAGGAGAATGGCCACGGTGCGGGAGAAGGCGCTTGCACTGAACCTGTGCACGTCCTACAGCCCGGCACACCGACCTCCAGGTACTGCGGACAAGGCTGGGCAATGTCTATAGAGTGTAGTCCTATGGAGCTGTGTCTGTGCAGCAGGTAGACTTTTTAGAAGCGATTCATGTTGTGTCGGAATCCTGACTGTATGCATTGGAATCTTTTAGGTGATTCCTTCTTGTTGTCTGACTCCTGTGGGTACCTATACCAAGACACTAGGTAAGTCTATGGACGCGTGCGCCCGCATGAAGACACCGTGGGACAGGAAGTGCCATCAAGGACAGGAGTCGGCGCTGGATCGGAGACCCGCAGCAGTGCTGGAGGGACAGATGAAAATGACAGGAAAGATCGGATTAAGAAACCTAATTTAAGGCAAGTGCTTTAATTATCAATGGGGGGAGGGAACATTTTTGACTGTCACTTTACCCTGTTGCTTTGTCCTGCATGGGGAAAATGGGTTTGTCCCAAGGAATGGACTGGGCAAATACTTGATTAGTTGGGCAATGGGCCAATTAAGAAATCTGCTTTTTTGTTGGATCCTGTGTTCTGACCAGCCGTGGAATAAACTTGGTTCAGTTCACATTGTTGCAGTCGGTATGCTAGATTGCAGTTTGTTTGCTGGGTGACAGCAGGTTACAGGCATGTAGAGATAAGACCCGGGAATGCTCAGGTATTTATTGCATGATCTGAATGTGACCTTGTTCAGTGTGGAAGTCCAATGTACCAAATCTTGTCAGCTTTAGTGGTTGTATTCAGTGCTGAGTAACTCTCTTGGCATCCAACTCTAAAATAGCAAATGGTCCAATATAACTTCGGTCTCCTTTCAAAGCGTGTATACAGTAACCAAAGCAAGCATTCAGAATTGGTTAAAGAGTACTGTACCTGAATGAGGATTGCCCATGCACTGCTTGGCCTCCTGTTGGAACCGGAAGATTGCCAGAGCTGTCGCAGGAGGATGGGCTCCGCTCGCTCGTGCCTCCTTGACTGTGTCGGGAAGGAGATCGCTGAGTGTAAATAATTGAGGACATAGCATGTTAACTATATCCTCAATAATGAATGGGAAGTGATCTACATCACCTCCACCTAGAGAACTACTGGCTGAATGGAAACTTTGCACGAGAAAAGCCACTTAAAATTTTATTTCTTGATGCCATAAGTTAATCTAGTCATACATAGTCAGATGTCTCATAAGTTCATGATCTCCCTATCAATGTAATGTGTTGTGGGCTGTAGCACCTTCCAGAAGAGGTTTTGGGGGGGGGCTGCCAGTGCAAGGAATGAAGCAAGTGTTGCACCTTACTCCTCTACTCCTAAGCATTTATGTACATATTACATGCATTAGCCTTGATATCATCTTTATATACAATCACATAACTCTTCTGCCTCCGGGAGTCATGCCTGTGGTTGTCATTCTTGCAATGCTGAATTGGATTTGTAGTTTTGCCACAGCTGGAGGGCCTACCCCTGCCAGAGGCTCAAAAGTTTGGCGTGTTGGCTGAAAGATATAGTGGCACACGAGTATAGATTGTGTGTAAATGTATGATCTGGGAGATGATCGTTTGGACTAGTTGGAGATTTTTTTTTTCAGGTGGGTGAAACTTGTGCATGGGTAGATTGGATGAATGTCGTACAAGAGGCTCACCACTCTTCCCCAGTCACTCCCTTCCTTCCCTGGATAGGTACCTAACTATACATGATAAAAACTAGTCTCCAGCTAGCCTGTCCTGTGCAGACTTTTTCATGGTGGTCCCTGGGTTTTAGAAGCATTTCCTATTCTCCTGAGCCTCTAGCAGTTAATTCGCTCTCCTTTAATACCACAAGCTGTACCACAGCCATAATACCGGTCTAATCGCTTTGAGATTTACTGCTGTGCGTGAATTGAATGTTGTTCTCCAAAGAACAGGGAACTTAAGTATTATTTCTGCCAGTAAAAATGTCAAAGTAAAAATATATTTGTGGTTTTCAGAGGTACAATAGTAAAGCTGGTAATAATTCATAGCAAGGCGTAGAATGTGGAGAACTTCTAGACTGCAGGCTAAAATGAATGCTGTAGGTTCAGTTGGTGAAACATTTCATGGCTACAAGAGGGCTGAACATTCCCTCCTGCCAACCCTCCAAGCTTGCTATTGCTTCTGTTCAGGAGGTTAATGGGTAGATCGGATTGTCTGACAATACATCATTTATAACTGGGCCGGGCAGATACCAGGAACTAGGTAGCCAATGTTCCTTAAAAACAGATGGCACCTAACACTTAATGTTTACTTTAGTCCTGGCCATGGACCTGGCTCCTGAATTTCCTATTAATTGATCAACCTGATTTATAAATGTAGATAATTACAC